CGGGGGCGATGGGAGGCCGGGAGGTTGACCTGAGTTCGCCTGGTCCGGGTAGAGTGCCAGGTGGCGAATGCAGTTCCCTGCGGTTCTTTCTGGGCCCCGGGTTGGAGCTGGGGCGCCGGGGCGCCGTGTGTGATACGGTGGGTGTGTCATGACGCTCCGAGCACACGCACCCAGGCCCGCGGCATGTGGATGTGGGTGGAATATTGGACCAGACCAGCGGTTCTCAAGCACTTAGTCTCAGGACTCTAGCATGCTTAAAATTAGCGAGGACCGCAAAAGCGTTTGTACAGTTGGCCTCTAGCGATCGCTCTTTACCCTGTTAGGAATTACACCAGGACATTTAAACACAACCGCACACAAGCCACCAGAGCCAGGACACCATAACAGGCCACGTGTTCTCTAGAAAACGCCCCTGTACGCGTGTGAGAGCAAAGTGGCAGATAGTTTTGTTAGAAGCACCTCTCACCGACACCAGAGGTGTCCCCGGACAGCCCCCTGAGTCAGGGCGGGAGGGCTGCTGCCAGCCGCGTTCCCTGTCTTCTCATATCGATGAATTTATATGAGAGACCATGATTGCACTGTGATGAAGCCAGCTTTATTAAAGCAATGAAAGCATGCACCTTTATTAAAGAAGTGAGGCAAGCAGACCTCTGCATCTGGCTTGTGAAGGGCAGATGGGCTCTCAGCTGACCTGGAGAGTGAGTCAGGTGGGGGTCTGAGGCATTAGATACCCTCCTGTCTATAGGTTTCAGATTCCTCTGCTGACTATTGTGGTGCAGATTAATTCTCAAGGTCCCTTTTTCCTTTGCTGTGGCCTTCCAGAATTCATGAGAAGCACCTGGCATTATTATCTTATTAAGCCTTGAGACTGCTGGCTTCTCTGCGGTTCTCAACCTTCTGGCCCTTAAAATACAGTTCCTCATGTTGTGACCCAACCATAAAATTATTTTCGTTGCTACTTCATAACTGTCATGTTGCTACTGTTAGGAATCGTCATGTAAATATCTGATCTGCAGGATGGTCTTAGGTGACCCCTGTGAAAGGGTTGTTTGACCGCCAAAGGGGTCGCGACCCACAGGTTGAGAACCGCTGGGTTAGGGAGTAAAACTGCCTTTTTCCCCTTTCTCCTCCCTCCCCCGCCCCCTTTCTGCATTCTCTCCTTAGGTGGGTGTTTAACCATTTGCTCTGGACCAGCAGAGTGTGTGGCGGGGACAGGAATGGTCTGGCTCTCAGAGCCCTGAATGCTCACTATCTGTCTGGCCCTTTACGGAAAATGTTGGCTAAACGTGGCCTAGCCCATGAGACACGGTTGGCTGTTTTGGGAGGCACGTTAGGATGACATGCAATGGCAGGGCATGTGCCACAGTCCCCTGTGCATGGGAGAGGCTGCGCCCCGAGGTATGGCCCCCCACACACGTGCTGTTACAAAATCTTCTCTGCCACGGTGCTTCCCTTCCACGGCCTCCCGGGATGAGCTGAGTCCTGGGACCGAGGCCGCAGCCAGGGGCGGGTCAGAGCCCATGTGGGTGTGGTGAGGGGCTGTGGCAGCAGGGAAGGCAGTCCTAGCCCACTGTCCCCACCACACACGCTGGCCGCTCTGCTGCCCAGTTCCCTGACCTGGTCCTTGAGGCAGGTGACCGGGAACCAAAAGAGCATGTGGTTCTTTGAGGCATGTAGGGGGACACCCATATGTGCACGACCAGCCTAACGCAGCCCGTGTCCGCAGAAACCACACGTGTGTCCCTGTGAATGGAGAGGGCGCCGTGTGCCTGTGTGACATGCTGATGGGCAACGTGAGCACTGGAGACACCTACCAGCTGGACCTGTGGGCTGGGGAGCAGTGGCTGTGGAGTGACTCCTTCAAGCCCAGCGAGCATGGTGAGTGGGGCAGGGCGGGGCGGG